AGATGGAGTCTGTCAGCAGAAGCAGCTTCCAGCCCCATCCCGGACTGCAGAAGACCTTGGAGCAGTTTCACCTGAGCTCCATGAGCTCCCTGGGCGGCCCGGCCGCCTTCTCCGCCCGCTGGGCGCAGGAGATGTACAAGAAGGACCATGGCAAAGATCCCGCGGAGCCTGTCCTCCACCTGCCCCCTATCCCCCCCCCGCCGGTCATGCCGGGCCCCTTCTTCATGCCCTCGGACCGGTCCACGGAGCGGTGCGAGACCATCCTGGAAGGGGAGACCATCTCCTGCTTCGTGGTGGGGGGCGAGAAGCGGCTGTGCCTGCCCCAGATCCTGAACTCGGTGCTCCGGGACTTCTCGCTGCAGCAGATCAACTCGGTGTGCGACGAGCTGCACATCTACTGCTCCCGCTGCACGGCCGACCAGCTGGAGATCCTGAAAGTCATGGGCATCCTGCCCTTCTCGGCCCCGTCCTGCGGCCTCATCACCAAGACAGACGCCGAGCGGCTCTGCAACGCCTTGCTCTACGGGGGCACCTACCCGCCCCACTGCAAGAAGGAGTTCTCCAGCACCCTCGAGCTGGAGCTCACGGAGAAGAGCTTCAAGGTGTACCACGAGTGCTTCGGGAAGTGCAAGGGACTGCTGGTGCCCGAGCTGTACACCAACCCCAGCGCTGCCTGCATCCAGTGCTTGGACTGCAGGCTCATGTACCCGCCTCACAAATTTGTGGTCCACTCTCATAAATCCCTGGAGAACAGGACTTGCCACTGGGGCTTTGACTCGGCTAACTGGAGGGCCTATATCCTTCTCAGCCAGGATTACACCGGGAAAGAGGAGAAAGCCAGGCTGGGCCAGTTCTTGGATGAGATGAAAGAGAAATTCGACTACAGTAACAAATACAAAAGAAAAGCACCCAGGGTAGGTGGCACCTCATTTTTTTGGGGGAGGGGGGAGGGGAAGGGAATTTGCCTACAGTTTCGGGGGTTTCCCGATTAGGTGGCCCCTTTCCCCTTAAAGGCATGCAGCCGTCTAACCATGCTGTGAAATCTGACCCAAGTGGGGTTGCTGTGGTTCATATAGATTTAAATAATTGTTCTTCTTGGTGACTTTTAAGTTTGACTTTTTATTGCTTTTTGCTTTGTAATACCTTCTTTGAAACGTACACTAGGGGACCGATCCTATTGCCTTTGCTCCCTCCACCTCTCCCCATACTTTCACAGGGAGGTCTGACCAGGCCAGGACTTTGGGACCAGAGCCTGAATGGGGAAGTATGGAAGCTGGGGCAAGGCCCAATAATTAGAACAAAGTGCTCGTTGCAGAAATACACCCTACTTCCTAACGTATTTGTTCCTAAATTGATCAGGTTTGGGAGCAGAGACTAAATGATCTCCAAGCCTCGATGGGGACTGGTTACAGGAATAATGCTGACAAAAGGTCAGCAAACTAATAGCCAGCGCCTGGTGTGTGAACGGAGACCGTGCTTGTTGTCAGAATCCTACCCCGAGACTGGCTCTTGTGTATTGGATTTTGTATACATCGAACAAACGTATCTGCAGCAGCCTGTAAGATACACCAGGCGGTGGTGACTCTGCCCCTCCAGACTGCTAAACCACATTTATTTTAGGTGGCTTTTTTTTCTCAGTCTGAGCAGTCTGAATCCCCAGCATGTGGGTGGCAGGCCATGGTGGCCCCTGGCACCAGTCCTGGTCACTGGGCAGCAATGCCACAGGGCCCTGAGAACTTCCTTGCAGACACCAGGATGTCTGGCTCACCGGTGGTGGTGTAATTGGCTGTGGGATGAGCAGCGTGCTGTCCATTCCTTCCCCCACCAAACAAACAGTGAAGTCGAGTTAACTCCTTCCCTTGCGTTCTGCTGCGCTTGCTTGGTGGGTGGATTTGGTCTCATTTTATTGAGGGGGGGGGGTGTTTAAGGTGCGGTTGTTGTGGGGTGCACAGAGCTAGGAACAGACTCCAGGAGAAGCATTTAAAGCCTATTGTGAGTAGGCAGGGAGATTCTCAGCACTTCCCCAAGGCTTGTTTTAAACACTCACACGCTTTTTAACTTTTCTTTTTTATGAAGTATCCAGGCTTATGAAGTGCTGCGCACACAAAGCTGCACTTAACCCAGCTAGCTTTGGGAGGCCCAATTAATCCAGCTTCTTCCCTCTCTCTTTTCTTTCTTTTTTTTGCCTTCCCTGTTTAAATCAGTGGCTAGACTCCTCTTCCCTCTTGTCCTCCAAATTCCCCTCCCCAGAGCTGGAGGGTCAGAGCAATTGTGGCCGTGTTGGGTTGTAATGAGCCACATTATCGCCATAGTTGGAGGTGGATGTGTTTTTAATGGCTTGTCTGTCCGCTGCTAATCATGCGCTAAGGTGGCATGGTGGGATTGATTGTACCGATGTGTGGGGAGGGGAAGGGTTCAGGAGGAAGTGGGATTGTCAGGATGGGGAAGCAGGGTTTTTAGGGTGAAGGGACGTTTCTGTGATTGCAGTATCCAGCCCCAAACCACCTCTCCTCACTTCCCTCAGACACCCAGAATATTACCACATTGGCTGATTCCTTACCCCATTTCCAGCTGATGATCCCTTTCACGTCAAGAATTTCAAACCTTAGGTGGTGGTGGTTTTTTCTCACAATAATTTTTATGGACTTTTATCTTTTTAAATAATATTCAGATCCCTTGACTAGAGCTACATGGAGGAATCTGGGGAAGTTTTGACACAGGGGGCAACATTTTTCAAAAATGGTTGCTGAATTTGGGATTCTTTGATTTATTATTTTTTAAGGGTGGAGCCCAACTTGAAAAGGATTTCACTTTCTCAGAAAGCTCTTAGCACTGGAGGCTTCAAATGAGGTCTGTGGGAAAGGTGCCTCCTATCTCTGACAAAATCGGGCTTCAGGAGGCTCAAATTGGACTCCTAGAAATGTGACATCAAAAATATTCAATAATCAGTGATTACTTTGGAAAAAATTGGGCAAAACACTATGAAATTCCCCAGGGGGGTTGACTTAAAATGCAATATTGTAAGGGATGGGTGGCGTGTGTAGGTTCTCAGGATAGGGTGGGGAAGGGCAAATGTTTTATCTCGCTTCCTGTTGCAGAGCTGGGCTAAGTTTCAAGGCTTTTGAGTTGGCTTTAGGGCTCCTATATTAACACAGCATAATCTTGAAGAGACCCTGTCAACAACTTACCTTGCAGACCAGACAGAGCTTTGGAGTTGCCTCACTTGTTTCCTTTTCTCCAGCCTTTTTCCATCCCAATGTAGCCGAGGAGATATCATATGTTAAGGTGGTTTGTGTTGTAGCAGCCTTTGCAGATAATTATGGAGCAATTCAATTTGGCTTGAGGGCTGCTAGACTGCGGCCAGAGGCAAATAACACTGGAGTAAATTTTAGGTCTCCTAGCAAGCAAATGAAAGGAAGCTCTCTTGTCTGGCTTTGTGTGCTGTGTGAATCACTTTCTGCCTGCATGTTTGTATATCTCTCTAGCTGTGTGCATGGTGCTTGTGTGTGGATAAATGTATGAAGCATGCATGTTTGTGTTGCTTCTCTTTTGTGTGTTACTTCGTTTTCTATTTGTGTACATGTGTGTGTGCAACGTGCGCCTTCTTTTGTGATGCATTTGAATTATTTTTGTCTCTGTTTCATGGTGTGTCTGTGCACATATGTGTTGGCCTGTGTGCTACATGTCTCTGGGGTGTTTGGGGGTGGGGGGGGGTCTCTGTTGCTGTATCAGAGACTGTGTGAAGTGCGTTGTGTCTGTGTGATTTTGCAAGGTGTGGTGTCTGTGGTTTGGCTCCTGCCAGGAGTGGTTCTGGTTTAGAGCTGCAGTGCAGGTGAAACCCGCCTGCAGGGGACAGTGGGTTGAAGCCACAGATTTGAGGAAGCTCTGAACTCTGTAGCCCAGCAGAACACAAGTGCCTCTCAGACTGTCTCTTCTCCCCCCCCCCTTTTTAAAGTTTTATTCCTTTTTATTTCCTCCTTAGCCTGTTTTTCCTCTGTACTGACCTGCGGGATTCTTTACATCCACTCCACCCTTAACCTTCACCTTCCTACCCACTTCCCAGAGCTTCCTTTTCTCTTGGGATCTTTCCTATACCTCCTCAGCCTTTGCCCTCCTCCTAGTCCCTTCCCTTGTCACCTGGTTCTTCCCTCCCCCTTTGCTCTCCTACTTCCCCCTGGCACTGCTCTCCCTGCATCTTTCCTTCTCTCCTGCAACTGCCTCTGGCTTTGTGTGTGTCCTGTTCTCTTTTCTCCATTTTCCTCTCCCTTCTCACCCGCTGTGTCTGGAATGGAGCAATTCAGAGCAAAGTCACCAAGTTCTGTGTTGTGTCCTAAGATTTAAAAACTTCCTTGGCTGCAAAAATGGGTCCCATAAACTGAGGGCCAGGATTTATTTTGGTATAGTTGCATAAAATCATAGGAACATAGACCTGGAAGGGATCTCAATGGGCTGTCTCATCCTGTCCCCTCCATGGGGGCAGGGTTAAGTATTATCTAGACCATTACAGACAGGTGTTTGGACCTTTGTAAAAACAGGTTAGACAATGACGGAGATTTCACAATTTACCTAGGTAATTTGTCCCAATACTTAAGAGGAAGTTTTTCTTAATGTCCAACCTAAATTTCCCTTTCTGCACTTTAAGCCCATTGCTTCTCCTTCTATCTTTAATGACTAAGGAGAACAATGTGTCCCCCTCCTTTTTATATCAGCCTTTTATGTGCTTGGAGATGGTTATCATATCTCCCCTCAGTCTTCTCTTTTCTAGACTCAACAAAACCCATTTTTTTCTATCTTTCCCT